CAGTAGCAACCTCTTGACAGATAGTAAGTTTGAGGTAAATGTTGGCATATAAAAAGCTTTGGATTCTTTGCTAAACAGCCTAAGATCGCCTATGCCTTCTATTGGTACCTTATCACCATTTGCAATTTTAACATTACCTAGAGCATGTTATATTACTGATTAGTCTTAAGTCACTAATCATGTGATCTGAGGCTCCTGAGTCTATAATAATCGGTTTTGCAATGTTTGGTGTAGCTAAAGATGTACCAAAACAGTATGATGCCTTTAAAGAGGTACCAAGGGTTTTACCAGCATTGTCCTTGAGAACCTTGATGAGAGCATCTAGGTCTGAGCGCTTGACATTATCATCTTGGTTGAACCTTGCTGTGGAGAAGGCAGAGGAAGTTGTGGCCCTACCACCTCCAGCATTGGAGAACATAGAGGAACACACGGATGGTGTAGCTGGTTCAGCAATGTCAGTTGAGAAGTTTGCTCTAGCATCCATGTATTGACTCTTCTAGTCCTTGAACTTCTTAGGCTTCAATTGTGGATGAAGAATCCAGAACTTATCCTTCATATGGCTCTTCTTCTTGCAATGGTCACACACCCACACCTTCCTCTCATCTTGCTTGTACACTCCCTTGTTTGCCACAGTTTCAGATTTGTTTGCCATAACAAGATCCCTTTTTCCTCCAAATAGGCCACACGAACTTTGTTCCTTCTGAATCTGAGCACATGCTTCTTCAAGACTTGGTAGCTTCTCAGCCCTCAGTGTGTGCTTGATTAAATCGTTGTAGGTTGGGTTTAAGGTCAAGAGTAACCCAAACACTTTGTCCTCTTCACGCCTTTCATTGAGGATCTTAGGGTCAACCGTGGGAGGTCTGAGCATTTTAAGCTCTGCCCACAAGGACCTAAACTTCCCAAAGTGAGCCATGAAGTTCATGTCTTCTTGACTCAAGGAGTTGATGGCTTTCTTGACTTAAAAAAATCGGGTAAGATTTGATATATTACCATAAACCTGGTAGAGAATATCCCATAGCTCCTTAGAGCCTACACAGTAGGAGTATGCCTCCAAAATGGCTGGATCTAAAGAGTTTTGAATGATTGACAGCACCATGAGGTCTTCTTGACTCCATTGGTCTTCATCAACCACAATCATCTCTTCTCCATCTTCTCTTTGGATGATTTGCTTTAGCGCCTCTCCACTCGAGACATGACTCCATAAGCCTCTTCCTCCAAGGGCAGTCTTCACCAATATTGACCATAAAAGGTAGTTAATCCCTTTTAGGTTCACCGGAATAGTAACACGTTTGGTTTTGGTATTCTCCATTTTCTCTTGCAAGATTTCGGATAAACAAGAAGAGATGTAGAGAAATAGAATGAACCAAGTGTAGATTTGAAAAGGAAAAATAAAAAAAAAACAGAGTTGGTTTGCGGAAGTAAAACTGGTCTCAAGAAGGCATAGGCGATCTTAGGCGATCTTAGGCCTGTTTAGCAAAGAATCCGAGCTCTCAAGGTACCAATAGAAGGCATAGGAAATCTTATGGTATCTGATACCATGTGAGTTTAGAGAAGAATAAGGTGAAGAACACAAGAACAGAGGAGAGAAGAAGAAGTTTGATCCGTAAAGAGAAGAGAGAGAGAGGAGACTTAGGTTTGTAACAAGAGAGAATCAGACATGAGAAAAAGAGGATTTGTCTCCGTACTTCATTTAGCACATAGGCATACATATAAATCAGATCACAAGGAGACACAAGTAAACAATAAACAAAGGGAAGGCGAGAGAGAGTGGGCTCGGCCAGCCGAGTGAAAGTGACTTCTCGCCTACTCTCTTCCCTTAGCAAAACATGTGATCTTCTTCTGTCCTAAGCTCCAACGGTCTCCTCTCCTTATTTTAATCTTCCTGACCGTTGGGAAAGCATCTTCAGAAGATCCCTTATGCATAAGAATAGCTTGCCGTGTACTCTCGGTTAGGTTAAGCAAAGGTGGTTGATTGTACGGACCATCTTGCTTTGATCATTTCCGAACCTATATCCACTTTACTTTCTTTTTGTCTATGCCCTTCATGTCTTCATGTTTACACTACCATGCACCAGCCCACACAGGATCAGGAGGATCCTCATTTACCCCATCTTGTCTTATTTGGAGTCTCAGCTATTAAAACTCCAACAGCTCTTATGCCAAGAGTTTATGCACGAAACCAGCACCTTCCAAGCCATCCAGAAGGTCCCAAGGAAGCTATCGTATCCATTAAAACCGTCCAGGTTTAAGAAGAAAAAAGTTCCTCAATTGGAGCCAAAGATCCCATTAAATGCTCCCACGGCTAGTTTTCGATTTCTTGCTTTGTTTTTGATTTTTTTCCTTCTTATTCTCTTAGAATGTTAGAACCATTGTCTCTGAGAATTATATAAGCTCCTAGCCGTCCATTGTATCATTCACCTTTCAACCATCTAAGTTTATAAGAAGTTTATTCAGTTTTTATCAAATTTTATTCTTTGCATAAAATATCGATCTTTAGGATTCAAAGTGTGATTCTTTGTAATCTTATTGATTTTGTGAGTCTAGTTTGTTTGTGCAAATCAAACAAGCTCAGTACACAGGTTGAGAGAGTCAATCACATCGATCCACCATCCCAACAGATTGAGAGATTCAATCAAAGCTTCATCCGCAATTCCACTTCAATCCATCTCTTGATCAAGCTGAGAGAGATACTTTAGTCCAGCAGCTTGATTCCGCCCTATCTATCATTTTTACTTTGTTTACTTATCTTCTGTTCATCTTGTTTAATGCATAAAAAACTCATAAAAATCATTCATTTTGTTTCCGGTACAAATCGCAGCCCTCACAATCACTCCCACAAGCCCTTATCGGTGTACAGGAACCATCCATCAGGAACATCCGATCCTGACTTTGTGCAGTCTGGTGTCCAGCCTGCAACACATACATTGAAGATGGAACTGATCGTATACTTGAAAGTTCAATCTTGTAAGAATTATTGTTGATCCTTTCCAACACTTTGAATTGGCCATCGTTCTTTGGTATAAGTTTGTATTTCCTTTCATTAGGAAACCTCTATTTCCTCAGGTGGATCCTCACCAAATCCTATGGTTCAAGCACCACCTCTTTCCTTCCTTTGTTGGCATTTTTGGCAAACATTTTGATCAATCTTCCGTGTATCTTCTTACCATCTCATAAAAAGACTTGCAAACTTGACCTTCTTCTTACCATCCTGGTTAGTATGTACTTCCAAAGGAAAATCAAGAAAATCCAAAGACAACAAGGATTGAAATCATAAACAACTTGGAAAAGTTATATATTAGTTCTGAGCGTATTGAACGGTTATAAGCAAAATTTACATGAGGCAAGAAACCATCCCAAATTTTAATGTCTCTTTTAGTGATAGCACACAAAAGAGTGGACATAATCTATTAACTATTTCAGTTTGACCATTAGTTTATGGATGACATGTAATCGATAATAGTAAATTAGTTCCTAGTTTTCCTCACATATTTTCAAAAATATATAAGCAGTTTAGAATCTCTATCCAAAAATATAATCATTAGAAATTCATGCAACCTAATAACCTCTCTACATAACAAATCAACTTCCATAGATGTGTCATCAGTTTTATAACAAAGTAGGAAGTGTGCATCTTTGAAAATAGATCTACCACAACAAAGATACTATCTCAGCATTCACGAAGTACATGGACACATGAACCCAAATCTCACTAAATATACGATCTTATTCCTATCGGATGAACCTTGGACTTGGCATATTTGCACAATAAACATCTCCCACAAATTCTTTCTACATCTTGCTTCGTATTTTGATAGAAAAAGTTACATTGCAAGGTTATCAATGTCTTGGCCACTGTAAAATGTTCTTAAATTTATATTCTAATAAGAACAAGTAATATCTTGGGGACTTTAGCTGAAATTTATATAATACGCAAAAAAAATTATTGGCCGAATGATTGGTCAAACATTAATATCAAAACATCAATGATCATGGGTCGTTCGCAATGCATGGGCCGCACTACCTTCCACTTGTAGTGTCAATAAGTCCATTACTTTTAGTAAAAATCATGAGATGCATACACTTACTGCAAGATATGCTGCAAATCCATTGGAATATATAAACTTTGAAGAAATAATGGTTGAGAATGAGAAACAAATACCGAGAAGTACATCTAATTAAGAGACCAACAAAACTCTTACGAAATTAATCGAATTGGTTTGATCTTCATCCAGTTAAGAGACAGGATATTGTATTTCCAATAAAGTTCATTGATATTTTACGTCAGTTCAATGACTATAACTCGAATATACGTAGCATATATATGTGTGTGTTATAAATACACATATTTAAAAAATATTATCTCACCTTTTTTCCCCATGCAAATTAGAGAAAACCAAAAGAATTCAAAGTAGGTACGAACACTTTCGTCTGTTAACATGTAAATGAATATTAAAAGAAACATGTCAATGAAGATTTTCATTTGAAGAAATGGAATTTTAGTTTTATCTCAAATTTGATACAACTTTTTAAAATTTATCATTGAAATATAACTATTTTCATAAATATTTTAAGTTTGTGATGAAAAAAAGATTAAACTAACATTCTTAAATTATTTATAAATGTTTTAACAGTAAAGAATTTTATAAACTCAACTCCAACTCTTAAATACTAAACTGTAAACAATAATCAATAAATCCTAAAATAAAATATATAGTAATTTTTATTGAATGCATTTTGAAAATTGTAGACAATCTATAGTAACAATTTCTCCTCAAAAATAGTATATCACACGTGAAAAACAACTAATGATTTTCATGACCGCAAAGGCCTGTATGATTGTAACAACAGTTAACATATTAAAATAAAAAATAAAAATAGTATCTCAATTATTACTAGCACTTTAAATCCATAGCTAGGCATTGCATTGCTCATAGATCAGCCACAGACACTTCTTGCTTTGTATTTGGGAAAAGTTTCTCTTCTTTTCTTATATTGCAAAAATGTCCAAAACCAATATGAACTTCTGCAATAATTATTTTCTGGTTGATCCGAACAAAGCAAGTGTTTTTGATCTCCTTCTTCTTTTGTTTTTCCCAAATCTTATCAGCAAAAGATTCATTGATTCTCAGCCGGATACGCTCAATAGCGCCCGGCGAAGTTTCGCGAGTCGATGGATGATTGCATTGGCCATTTTTCTTCAAAAAGTATTAATATTCATAAGAACACCCTTGGCATTCATAGGTCGTACAGTCACCTATTGGCCCAATCTTCTAACGGCAAATGGAGGTTTCTTCAACTTGGTACTTAACCTTTTGACAGGTGGGAAATCTAACTAAGCATACTTTAATTATCGATATTTAAATTTTGAAATTTTTTTAACATACTATCTCTAATAATTATGACCAATTTTTGGATATGAGAAGGTTTAGCTTGTATGAAAAAAACCCCCCCCCCCCCCCAAAAAAAATGAAATCACGGACCATATATTATATATAAATATAATTCCCTCGGGCTTTTGGACTTAACCAATATGACACTTATCACACGTCGACGAGATTTGTGACAGAACAGGGATTAATTACTCTAAATGCAAGAACCTATTGCACAGATATTATAATATAAAGTATTTACAATTTTTATGCATTAATATGTCTTCAAAAAAATAAGCTTACAGATTTTAAGAACTTTAATACTTTGTTGTTACAGGAAAGTTGGTGAAGCCTGACGAATCGTCCGCGACATATGCGTCGTTTCTAGGATGCACAGATCGAAGAGTAGAGCTTGACCAGAAGATAAAAGTTGGTACGATCGAATACAACTCGATGTTATCAATGATGGCTTCTAAGATCGCTTATGAGAACGAACCTTTCATCACTTCCGTGGTCAAAAACACTTGGAAGGTTAACTTTATTTTCTCCCTGTCTCCTTTTTTTCTAGGGTTTTTGCCTTCTCGTTTAAGTATTAACTAGATGTTTTCTTATATCATATGCACTCATACAATTTTAAATTTAAATGATATTTCAAAATATATTTTAGATTTATTATTTTTACACATTTATTTTAGTATAAATATTGATTTAGTTAAAAATAAAATTAAGACAAAATAACCAATTTGATTTATTTTGATTATATATTCACATATATATATATATATATATATATATAAAATTATGATCTTAAATAGATTGTATAAAATTTTAAAAATCTTATTTAGTAACAAAAATTGTATAATTTTAAAAGTAGATTTAAATAACATTTAAATATTTGTAAAATATTTTATATTATTTAATGTAATATTTGAATATATTTATTTTAATGATTATGTATAAGTTATTAGCATATTTTAAAATATTTAACAAAAATAAAAATCGTCATTAAATGTAATTATATGTCATCGATTCTGTTAAAAGATGCCATCTTTTTTTTTCTGAAATTGATTGTAGAATTTGTTTTGTCAAATCACTTGATAAATAATATCTAAGGATTAAAGATAACAATACAAATAATTCTTACTATCTTCCCATTTCACATTTCTAAAATCATTAATTATAAACTAAATTATAAAAAAATATTCATATTCACAATTATTTATATTTATATTTAGTTAAAGATTAGTCATACAAAATCATGTGATGTAAGTTTAATTCGTTTTATTGGTAGCTTTTTTAGATGGACGATCTTACATTTTTATACTGTATTTACTATTTTTAATCTTTTAAAAGTTACTTTTACAGTTGTATAAAAGATATAATTATATATTTATGAGAGTTTATATAGGATAATATATCTATTTAATCGGTCTCACATTAATCTAAGATAACAAATTTGATTTATTTTCATTATATTTAAGAATCTATATATATATATATAATTATGATCTTAAATAGATTTTAAATTTTTAAAAAATATTATTTAGTAACAAAAATTGTATAATTATAAAACTAGATTTAAATCATATTTCAAAACTTGTAAGATACTTTATATTATTTAATGTATTATTGAATATATTTATATTAATAATTATGTATAAGTTATTACCATATTTATATTTAGTTAAAGAGTAGTCATACAAAATTATGTGATGTAAGTTTAATTCATTTTATTGGTAACTTTTTAATGGAAGAATTTATTTTTTATACTGAATTTACTATTTTAATCTTTTTCAGGTTAGTTTTACAGATGTATAAAAATATAATTATATATTTATGAGAATTTATATAGGATAATATATATATTTTATCTGTCTTACATTATTCTAATATAACCAAATAGTTTTGTTCTAGAGATAAAGGGATTTTAATTAAAGTTTTCGCTTTTCCGTTTGAGTAGTATTGACCACTCATGACGTTTTAAGTGGTAAATAAACCTGATTTTCTATAGATTTGGTGAGATTAGATTTTTGGGTTAGAAAATTTTGGAATTCTCACGGTTATCAAAATAAATAAAAATAAAAAAAACATTAATCTAAGATTTTTAATACTTTGTAACTAAAATTATCTAATTCTTCTTTGGAACCGGTCTCACAATAATTAAAATTCTTATTTGATGTGTTCGTGATCATAATGGTTAATCAATCATTTTAGACATATTTTAATATTTTTGTTTTGATGTTTTAATAACAAAGATGATAGAAAAAATCTAGTGGATCTTCTAGTAATATTGATTTGCTGACTTTACACATATCTTCAATGTCTGTTTTGACTTTTACCTCACACTTGCTCTCATTTTACATTTATTCTTTGACGCAGATGGACTTTGTTGGTTACTACGACTGTTACAACGGTAAACTAAATGCTCCGATTTATTCTTCTAGGAAATGTTTTTTCTTTCCCACTTCAGTGATTAGGGCGTCTTCTGTGTATTTTGGAAAAATTATCTCCTTTTAGTGTATAAATAAAGCCTCAGAAGTCCCGTTAACACAGATAACATAACCGTGTGGATGTAAATAGATGTACACGTAGGACAAAAACCATTCTTGCAGTGATAGAAAAGCTTTCATTTACTTTTCTGATAATACTACGTACAGAAATAGGTCTACCAGATCATCATGATATATATGCCAAATTGGTCTCTGTACCATATCATATCGTGTTAAAGTAAATGAGCAACGGACCCTACTGATTTTAAATGTATCGTCTGACGGATTTTATAGAATAAGTGTTCTTAACGAACTTATAGATCCCAACTTTGACAAAAAAAAAAAGAAAAAAAAGATCCCAACTAAATTTTAAATGTAGTCTTAAAGTCTGCTATTTTAATTATAACATAAATATCTCTATAATATTATTTGAGAAGTCAGTTTCCTATATGTCGCTCTTACGTTCACTTTCACGATGGTTGATTACACTGATACCCTTAATGAATTAAAATAGTTAAAAACAGTATTATTAATTCTTTTATTTATTTTCTTTTTCAAAATTTCCAAAATATATGTAATAAAAAGGAAATTAGTTATAAATTCATAAAAAAACAAATTTAAAACGAAAAATATATGTATATATAATATGATTTCATAAAAAGGAAAGTTCACAAAATAACAATAATACATTTAAAAATATTTTTTAAAATAACATTAAAATACACTTTTTAGTAATAAAAATAGTTTATAATTAGTATTATTGAATTTTTTTTTTATTTTTTTTTTTCATATATTTAGTTGACTATAATATCTTTCAATTACAGAAAATTATCTATAAATTATATTTCACTTACATAATATTATTTTCAAATACAATCACAATTTTGTGTAGTGCTTATTTTTAAGAGATGTTAAAACCTAAAAATAAATTTAACAATAAACATCGTTTAATCAAATAATTAACATTTGGTTTAATGAGCTAGATATATGATATTTTATTATTATTAAAATTATATGCTTTCTTAATATTAAATTTCTTTTAAATTTTGTGTTTTATGTTTGTGAAACTAAATATAACCATAATCAAAATATCAAAGCAAATCTGAATTCCCAATTTTAAAATTATTTAAAATAAATTTTAGTTTACATTCAATAAATCTAAAGCATAAAGTTATTTAGAATTTATAAATATTTATCTTTGTAAATATTGATATGTGTTATGATCTTCTAAAAATGTATCAACTACGCATGTAACCTTCTATTGATCATAGGATAACTCAAGAATATTAACAAATGAAAATAAATATTAACCAACTTTTACAATTTTAGTCCTTGTGTAAAATTTATATATATGCATGAGACTTTAGAATATTATCGTTATATTAATTTACGTATTTTGGAATCAGACACTTTAGTTAATTTTTAATTCATTATAAGCACAATATATCTTAATTTATACATAATTTTCCTAAAATATATTTAAATATCTAAAACAACACCCACTATATGCAAATAAGTGATTAATTAAAAATTAATATATTTTTAAAAATATTACAGTTGAATTCAGACAATCCAATTTATCTAAATGATAACTAAATCAACCGCAAAACAACAAAATCGACTAAATATAACATATATAAAATTATAGTATAATTATAATAGTATAATATTTTTAATATAAATGATGCATACAAATTTTAAATTATATTTAAAATTAAAACTAAATGGTAATCAATTATTATCATATATTTCCTTTTAAAGTATTTATAGCCGTGCATGAGCACGAGAAAATCACCTAGTACTAAACGTAATTCTGGTTGTGCTCACTTTTACAATTTTTATTACGCTATTCTGTCGGAGCTCAAAAATATTAAAAGGAAAATATATTTGAGTAAAGTTGAATATGTTTACGTTTCTATAAGTTAGGTGCATATCTAATCTTTGCTAATTTACAAATTAGATTTCAATATGTTGGTTGCATTTTTGGCCATTATTAATCATACATTAAATGTAGTTGTATTTTGAAGAAATTATTAGAAGAAGAATATGGGGGACCCTAGATCCAATTTCATGTATTTTTCATGGGTTAGCAGCCTATTTTTCAATGCAAATGTTATATGATATTAGATCGATTTATTGGAAAAAATAGTATTTTCTGTATTAATAGATAAATGTTTAGTTAGCTGAATGATGAAAAGAAAAATATAGATTACCATCAAACAAGATCAGTTATTCTGGCACGCAGATTATTTATTTTATTACTTAAAAACTATATTTATTTGTATATTAAACTAGGTGTTTTGCCCGCACTTGCGGGCGTAATTCTCTTATGAATATTTATTAATTGATGTTTCATTAATTTAAAAATCAGTATAGTAAGTTATTATTTATGTTTTCAAAATTAAAAATCAAACATCAAATAATTATTAATGACAAAACTCAAACATCAGAAATATTTTAAAAATATATTTCTACAACTATTTTTCTTGATTTATATTTAATTATAATATTTGTATCTTAATTTTTAATTTGATATTCGAAAAACACATTTTCAAGATAACAATATAATGCATAAGTTGTTTATTTTCTGAAAATTTAATATGATATTTTTTTAACTATATAATAATTATATAAGATTATAGAAATTATGACATATAATTAAAATTACCTTAAATCATTGAGAACTTCATGAATCAGCAAATTCGCTTCTTAAATAATTTTTCTTGAGTGATGGTTTATATTTAATTAATAATAGATAATTTTCTATTTTACTTTTAAATTATATAATATAAAAATATATTTTCAGGATAACAACATATTACATAAGAATTACCATATTCTCGAAAAATATAATATTATTAGTGTAAATTTATTTCAATTATAGAATAACTACAAGTTTTTATATCTTAATTTCAAATTTCTAAGAGAAAAATATATTTCAAGACAGCAATTTAATACATAAAAAGTATTTTATTTTCTAATAATCTGATACAATCAATATAAATTTTAAATATATAATAATTATATATAAAATTATATAAATTGATAAATTATCAAAATTATCTAAAATAATGAAAAATATGACAAATCAGCAAACATCAGATTCATTTCTTAAATAATATTATAAACTTCTTACATATTATTTTTAAATTTTATAATAGAAAAATATTTTTTCAAAATAACAGCATAATACATAAGAATTAACTTATTTTCTAAAATTTCATATTATTAATGTAAATTACTTTTAATTTTATAATCAATAATAAAAAAAATTATAGAGATTCTGATAAATGATCAAAATTAACTAGGATCATGGAAACAAGTCAACAATTTCACTTTTCAAATAATTGTTTTGATGATTTATATTTAATTATGCTTTATATTTAATTATTAATAATATTATTTTATATCTTAATTTTAAGTTTTATAATAGGAAAAAATATTTTCAACATAACAACATAATTTATAATGATTATATTATTTTAGAAAAAATATTAAATTATTAATATAAATTATTTTTAATTATATTTAAATATTAAACTATTAATATAAATTAGTTTTAGATAAATATAATAGTTTTTATATCTTAATTTAAAATTTAAGTTTTATATATAAAACTATATATCAAGATAACAACATAATTCCCAAGAGTTATCTTATTTACTAAAAATAAGATATATTCGTATAAATTCGTTTTATTTATAAATATAATATATATATATATATTAAAAATATGATAAATAAAAAAAATGGAGAACATGACAACTAAGCAAATTTACTTTATATATTTATATATATATATATATATATATATATATATTAAAAATATGATAAATAAAAAAACACCTAAAATTATGGAGAACATGACAACTAAGCAAATTTACTTCTTAAATAATAGTTTACTTCTTAAATAATAGTATAGATACTTGTTTTTCTATTTGACCAAATTTACTTGTTTGAAAAGCCTATCAGGTTCCTAATCTTTTTTTTTAATTATAATATTACAATAAAAAAAATTTAATCTGAAGAACCTTAAAATATTTTAAACAAAAGCAACATTTGCAAAAACGATTGATATGTTTTTATTTTTGTGGTCAGCGTTCCAAGGAAAAAAACTGACACAGGCCTTCGTGTTCAAAGCATCGGACACAAATCCGAACCTCATCGTCGTCAGCTTCAGAGGAACCGAACTTTTCAGCTCTGATGATTGGTGTACTGATCTCGACATCTCTTGGTATATATATATTTTTTTAAAATCAATATAATTAAATACTTTTCTTAGTTCATATATCATTTATTTTCCGAGTTTTAAAATAGGTACGAGCTGAAGAACGTTGGCAAAGTCCACGTCGGGTTCTCGAGAGCTCTAGGCCTCCAACAAAATGGATGGCCCAAAGAAAATATAAGTCTCATACACCAATATGCCTACTACACGATTAGACAGAAGCTTAGGGACATGCTTGCCAGAGACAAGAACCTTAAGTTTATTCTAACGGGTCATAGTCTCGGGGGAGCAATAGCTGCTCTGTTTCCGGCCATTCTAGCGTTTCACGGCGAGGATGAGCTGCTTGATAAGCTAGAAGGCGTCTACACATTCGGACAGCCACGTATAGGGGACGAGGAGTTTGGGGAGTATATGAAGGCAGTGATGAAAAAGCATGGAATAGAGTATGCGAGGTTTGTTTATAACAATGATATGGTGACTAGAGTCCCCTTCGATGACAAGATTCTATTCGGATACAAGCACTATGGATCTTGCATTTACTTCAACAGTCTTTACAAAGGAAAGGTAAACTAAAGTATCCTCTATCCAATTTATTTAAAATGGCACAAAATAGGAGATTTGAGGTGGTAAGAAGAAAAATCAACTTGGCTTTTATGATATCAATACTATTAAAAGAGAAGGAGTTTTAAAAAATCTACTTATACAAGTTGTTTGGACCTTTTCATTCGAATTACTATTTTTTAGTCTTACCTTTATTTTCTCTAACTATACAACATTATTACTAATCTATAAAATCCTCCTAAGATTTTGTGATTAATTTGCTTTAATAATTACAACATATCCACAAACGTAACAA